TCTCTGCGTCATTCTCATTCTCGCCCTGGCGCAGGGCCCTCACCCGCTCCCCGCGTTGCCTTTGCCTAGCGCTTTTCCTGTGCGCCCTTCTGCTGCCGATTGCAAGAGCGCGCGCGTCGACTTCCCTCGACGCCGTCGCCGCCTCGGCCAGCGCGGGCGCATTCTCGAATGGCCTCGTCGCGCGGCCGTCAGGGCAGCCCCGCGGGCCAAGCCGTCGGGGCAACCGCGCGAGCCGTTGGGGCGCGGGAGCAAGCCGTTGGGACAACCCCGCAGGCGCCGAGTTAGTCACGGCCGCGGCCAGGCGGGAGGCAGCGCGACGCCAAACTCTGCGGCGAGCTGCTCGGCCTCATCCCCGGAGCTCTCCGCTTCTCATCGAACTTCTCGAGCGCCTTCCGCAAGGACGCCGGCGGCCCGCGCCCCAGAAACTCCCGCGCGGGCCGGGAGAGCATGGCGCGGAGGTGCAGCCACCGCTGGTCGCCCGACATGCCCGCGCAGCCAGAGTCCTCGCCCCCCCGCGCAGTCGACGGCGACGCCCTCGCAGAGCGTCTGGCCCTGCGGCAGCGCGGGGGCGAGGCAGGGCGCGCGAGTCAGAGCGAACCCTGAGCGGCGCACGGCGCGCGGCCCCGAGCTCTGCCGCGTTAACTCCTGCTCGCTGGGCCTGAACATCAGCAAGCTCCGAGCCCGCGCCTCGGCCTGGCCGTCGTCGCCAGCGTCTTCGGCGCCCCGTCGCAGCACCTCGGCGACCCTGGTAGATCGGAGACTCTTCGAAGCCGCGCGCCTGCAGCCAGACCCCCTGCGGCAGGAAGCGGGGGCGAGAGAACTGATCTGCCGAGCGCGCCTCGCGCCGCTGCTCGTCCTCGCGGTGAAACTCGAAGGGCGCGATGGTGGCCCGTTTCTCCCGGGCGAGCCCCAACTTCTCCAGCTCTTTCTGCGCTGCCGTGAATCGCACTTCCATGCCGACGTGGGCAAGCAAGACGCCGTGGATGCCCCCCGTCTCGCGCATGTTTGGGGCGTTCAGGAGGCGCCGACCGGCGTCGGCATCGCCCTGGATCGTGCTGCGCTCGCCAACGGCCTGCAAGAAAACGAAGGGCACGCCCGGGCGCCGCGCGTCGCGTCGAGCGCGCGCGTTGATCCACCTCGCCAGGGTCTCCCAGTACATGCCCATGCCGTAGCCGAATCGAAAATCATCGCGCTGGTGCCGAGGGCCCAGGACGCCGCGGCTATCCGAGGCCAACGTCTTCCCCCAAGCGGACCAGACCTCTGGCAGGAAGGGCTCGCCCCCGCGCATGCAGCCCAGGAACGTGATCAGCGGGCCCCCAGGCTCGAAGCGCTTCGCGCCCTTCTGCTCGAAGACGCAGGGGATCTGAGAGAAGACCTTGATGGCGTGCTGAATCTCCACCGACGGCGGATCCGCGTACTTGTACGAATCGTCGTCCAGGGGCTCGTTCACGTCTGTCAGAAGGCCAATGCTGCCGGTGGGCTTGAGCTGCAGGAAATCGCCGAGGTGCAGCGCGATGGGGACGCGCCCGAGGTGGTGGTGCGGCCGCTGGTCGGTGGACTCCTGCACGTCGCGCGTGTCATTGCGTCCGCGGCATGCGCGAAGGTCTGGCGCGTTGCACAGCGCGGCTGCCACCATGCGTATCTCCTCAACGGCAAGATCGAACGCGGACGTGCTCCCATAACCACTTCGACCTCTTCTGCGCGCCCCCCGGCCGCAGCTTCACGTCGATGTACTTCTGAACTCGCGTGGCGCAGGCATTGCGTAGCGCTGGTTTTGACAATCTCCGCGGAGATGTTCTTCGCCTGCGCCTCGAGAAAACAACGACCATCAGGCTGGCCCTGTCCGGCGCCGGCGAGGGCCAAGCATACTCTGCGACTGAGAAGACGATGTTCTGCACCACGCGCGATTTTCCAGAACCGCCCTGACCCAGCAAGAGCAAGTTCGTCATCTTTCTCTCGCCCCGGGGCTTCTTCTGCACGTCGTGTCGTCCCCCCAGGCTTCGTCGCAGACCTTTGCGAACTTGGCAACGAAGAGCGTCTGGTCCCGCGCGAGTCTCTGGTCTTCTGGCGAATCGGCGACCAGTTCGGCGATGCGCGCGCCGGGTGTGGAGCGCACCCCGTCCTTGACCTTGGCCGCGACGGGGTCGGTGCCCAGGCCGCGTGCGCCTTCGCCCGCGCCGTCGTCGACGCCCGCGCCATCCTCGCCGCCGTTGCCCTGCAGGCGGTCGTCGCGCAGACTCGCCGAGGAGTGTTTCTCTTCGCGCGCCGCAGTCCCCGGAAGCAAAGGCCCCCCCTGCCCCTTTTTCGACCGTGGATGGTTTGCCGCCCCTGTCCGGACGCAAAGGCCCCCCCTGCAACCGGCCGCCGTCGTCGTCTCCACTTCCGGTCTCTCCTCTTCCTCCTCGCCAGGGTCGGGCGAGTCGCCCTCTGAAGAGCGCGTGGGGGGGGGGGCCCGCCTGAGACTTCCTCGCAGTTCACTCACAGACGAAGTTCCCCGCCCGCTCCATATTCAGGCCTCGAGAACTCCAAAGCGACGACCGTTGCAGGGTAGAGGATGACCCGCTCGGATTAAAAACATAGAATGCGGGCCTCATAGGGGGGGGGGGGGGCGCCTGAGACGTCCTCGCGATTCACTCGCAGACGAGGCCCCCGCCAAATACTTCCCCTATGTTCAGGCCTGAGGAGCCCAAAAGTGACGACAATTACAAATTCGAGGATGACCCGCTCGGATATCAAAAACATAAAGTGCGCGCCCCAAGAGGCGATAGCACCCGCCTGAGACTTCCTTGCAACTCGCTCGCAGAAGAGCCCCCCGCCTGATACTTCTCCCATATTCAGGCCTCAGGACGCCAAGAATGACGACGGTTACAGGTTTGAGGATGAACCGCTCGGATTAGAAACGTAAGATGCGGGCCCCATCAAGGGGGGGGGGGGGGGGGGCCCGCCTGGGATTTCTTCCCGATTCACTCGCAGACGAGCCTCCCGCCTGATGCGCCCCCCATGTTCAAGCTAGCCAATGACTGGGTGAGTGAGTGAGTGAGCGAATGACTGGATGAGTGATGATGATGATGATGACGATGATGGTGACGATGGCGCAGGTGATGAGAGAGTGGGTGGTTAACTGTGTGATCGAGTGGCGGGCAATGTGATCAAGACGGTGCGCGTGTGCGTGTCTGAATGTGAGCGTGGGTGAATGTGTGAGTGAGGACGATGGTGGTTGTGATGATGATGAGTGAAGGAGTGCGGGAGTGAAGAGTGAGTGGATGGGTAATGATGGTGCTACTGATGTGGATGATGGCGTGGTGATGCTGCTACTGGCGTTGGTGGTAATACGTGTGAGTGTGAGAGTGATGGCGACGCGACAGTTAGCTGAATGAAAGAGTGATGCTGATGATGATGATGAGGATGATGATGAGCGAGTGAGTGAATGAGTGAGTGGGCGATGATGTAGTGTGCGTTCTGGATCCTGCGCGGGGAATCGAAGGAAAACGGAAACCCCACCTTGGACGCGGGGGAAAAGATGAGCTGCGGGCCCCATAGGGAGCCCCCCCCCCCCCCCCCCGCATGAGACACCCTCGCAATGCGCTCACAGACGAGGCTCTCGATTGATACTTCATTCATATATTCAGGCCTCAGGAGCCCAAAAGTGACGACAATTGTAGGATACCGATGACCCGCCTCGGATTTCAAACATGAGCTGCAGGCCCCATTGGGAGGGGGCTCTTCGCCTGAGACTTCCTCGCGATTCACTGACAGACGATGCTCTTGCCTGGTGCTTCCCCCTCATTTAGGTCTCAGGAATCCAAGAGTGACAACAGTTTCAGGATTCTGGTGACCCGCCTCGGATTAAAAACATGAGCTGCGGCCCCAATGGGGAGGGGGCCCCCGCCCGAGACTTCCTCGCAATTCACTCACGAGGCTCTCGCATGATACTTCCTTCATATTCAGGCCTCAGGAATCCAAAAACGACGACGGTTGCAGGATTCTGGTGCCCCGCCTCCAATTGCAAACATGAGCTGCGGGCCCCACAAGGAGGGGGCCCCCGCCTGAGACTTCCCCGCAATTCACTCACGGACAAGGCTCCTGCCTGATATCTCCTCATGCGTGGGTGCGAGTGCGTGAGCGAGGATGGCGATGTTGATGATGGCGAGTGTGTGAGAGAGTGAACAAGTGAATGTGCGAGTGGGTGACAGAGTGAATGGACGGGCGGACACGTGGGTGAATGAGTAGGCGAATGCGTGAACGAGTGATGATGATGGCTGCGTGAGTGAGTGGATGCCTGTGTAGAAGAAAATGCGTGCATGATGGAATGAATGAGCGCGCGACGGGCGGACACGTGGGTGAATGAGTAGGCGAATGCGTGAACGAGTGATGATGATGGCTGCGTGAGTGAGTGGATGCCTGTGTAGAAGAAAATGCGTGCATGATGGAATGAATGCGATTGTTCCTGCGGGGGGGGGGGGGGGCTGCGCGGGGGGCGCGCAGAGAAAACAATAATCCCTTTGAATATGGGGATTGATTTTGGTTGAGTTCAAGCATGCTGGTTGCAACGAAGCGCGTTCTTCAACCTTGAAATGTGAAGTCATAATCATACATGGGTATGCGTAACTCTGTTGTGTAACATGTCGTTTGGCGTTCGCGAGCGCATGCCATCATCCTCCCCATCCTCCTCTATTCTTTCCCCTCCACTCCCCCCTGCCCCTTTCCGTCGCCCCCCCCCCCCTCCTCCGAATCAGACCCCCCCCTCCTCCTCTCCCCTCCTCGCCCCTGTTTCAAAAGATCACTGGCGGTCCTCCCTTCCTGCGCTGTGTATTGGCATGAGAATCGTTCCCTTCTTCCCCATCATCATCGGTTTTTCCTCTTCATAATATCATCGCCATCGCCATCGCAGCACCCGCGAGAGCGTCTGTTCTGGCTCCGACCCCAGCTCTTGGCTCAGACCTCAGCCATGCCGGAGCCCCCGCGGGCGCCCGCGGCGCCGCGTCCACCGCGCCACCGAGGCGGTCGGCGGCAGCGGGCGGCCGAAGAGGAGCCGAACGCCGCGGCGGCGGTCGCTGGCCCGCAACGGAGAAACGCCCGGTTGTTCGGCGATCACCTGCGGGTCAGGTACGAGGGCGCCACGAGCGCCCAGCGGCCGCAACACTTGGCGCGCTGCGGCGCAGACGACGGCTTCGCCCGCCCGATGCTCGGGAGGTTGTCGCGGCCCCAAAGCGACCAGGACGCGCGGACAGTCCGATGGGCCTCTTGTAGACCACAGGCGATCCGCGATTCGTCGCGGCGTATCCCGGCGAGTTCGCGGCCCGGCGCGCAGCGCCGAGATCCGCGCGAGCGCCGCGCGCGCCCGGCCGCGGACAAAGTCAAATTGCGCGGCTTCTGGCAGGGGGGGGCTCCTCGAGAAGGCCCGCCAACGCCGACCTCGGGGACGACCGCCCCGTCGTTGGCGACGCGGGCATCGACGAGCTCGAGACGGCGAACCCCCCTCGCGACGCACGCTGCCGCGGGGCCCTACTCGAAGACGCACGCGCGCTATGTCGCGAGCTTCGGGCCCCTCGTCGTCGTCGGGGGGGCCAAGCTGGCCAAGTTGATGCGCGCCTCCTACGCGCTGCGGTCTGGCCACTCGGACAACTCGTTCTGGTGGCACCACGCGCGCGAGGACATGGCCGCGCCGGGCTCGGGGCATGTCGGGCCGAGCACTTGCGCGCGACTCCGACGGCGCTCTCTGGAGGGCCGCGCAGATGTAGGCCGTGCGCGACGAGGCCGCGCGAGCAAGTGACATCGGCCCCGCGCACTTCTCAGCGCGCGGCGAGGCGTGCCCCGACTGCCTCGCCGAACGCGCGTCGCGGCCATTCGCCGACGCAAAAGGAGGGCGCCGCATGGCGGCCGGGCGAGAGGGCGAGCGTCGACGCGCGCGTGGCCAGAGCGCGGGGGCCCGCCACCCGCTGGTGGCGAACGCGCATTCTGCCGCCGCTTCCCAAGCGGACATCGTGCACCCCGTCGAATAGAAAAGGTGCGGCGCCCGCTGGCTTTGGCCCCGCGACGCCGCGGCTGCCGGCCGACGACCGCATCGGGGCGCACGCGAAGCCATCGACGACCGACGGGGGCAGTTCCGCGACGTCAGGCCAGGCGCCAATCGTTGCCCGAAGATCATGCTCAGCAGCTGCAGCTTTGACGGATGGGGAAATCTCGCGGAGCCAACAAATTGGGCAGCAGAAATCCGAGGCGCCCCTGTTTCCTTCAGGGAGCTCGTCCACCGCGGTTGCGCATCCGTAAGTCAGCGGGACTGGCGGCTGCGCTTCGCGTTGGCAGTCCTCGAGGAGATCTACACTGTCATGCGCGACGCACCCGCGTTTCCTCCCGATGCGACAGTGGTCCGGATTATATAGCTGCGCCTGGAGTTCAGGACTGCGCGCCAGCGCCTGCGCGAGCTGTCGCGCCGCGCTGGTGCCCTTGCGTTTGCTGTCTCGCCCGAGGTGCACAAGGTAGTAGTGGCAGCAGGAATAATAATTGTAGCTATTGTGATAATCGCCGTAGAAGTGGGAGAAATGATAATCGCAGTAGTCGTGGCAGTAGCAACAATAAGAATGGGAGCGGTAGTAGTAGTGGTAGGAGTAGCGGGTAGAAGGGGGGGGGGGGGGTAGAGGAGGACGCACTGACGCAACAAAGCGGCGCGGCCGAAGCCAGGGGGCCAGCCCCGCCCCAGAGGCGGCCCGGCCCGACGGCTGGGCCCGACCGCCCAGTCCTGCGGCCCATGCCGCCCTCCTCTAACGAGCAGCGCAAATGGCTCCCCAGTGAGCTCTCAGGATAGAAGCCGCGCTCGGAGCAGTCGGAGATCACGCGCTCATCGCGCGCGGAGGAGTTAGGGTTCAAAAAGGGGGGGTTGGGAGCAGTGGCGCCGTTTCCTATCGACGAGGCGGCGGGGGGGGGGCGGCGGGGGCGGGGCGGGCGTGGCGCGCGGCGGCGGAGGGCAGGAGACGGGCGCAGCGTCGATCTCGTGGGCGGTGGACAGGGAGCGAGAGGCGCTCGCGCGCGCGGGCGGCCTCGAGGCGGAGGCAGAATGCAAGGCGCGGGCGCGAGCGGAACATATCGAGGAGCTCGAGCAGCAGTGGGCGGGCCTGGCGAAGGGGGCCGCGGCTCTGAGGGCAGAGATGGAGGCGGCGAAGGAGGAGCTGCATCGTCCGAAGAAGCAGAAGAAGGAGCAGCAGCGCGAACCGCGGGCTGCGCGACCGGCTGAAAGGGAGGAGGAGGGGTGGGGCGGGGGGGGTGCCGACGAGGGGGGGGGCAGAGGAGAAGGATGAAGGGGATGACAGGCGCGCGCCTTGAAGTAAGTAGTCGACGCCACAGGCCTGTCGAGCCTTGAACGTAGGGCGAGAGCGAAGGAAACACCGGCGAGCACGCAGGGCAATGAAACCTCACCATCCAACCACAACAACCACCATCGTCATCATCGCAATCACCACCACCCACATAGTCACCGTCATCCTCGCCATCATTCATGAGCAACGTTGCCATCATCATCATCATCATCATCATCATCATCATCATCATCATCACCATCACCATTGCCATCAACGTCGCAACTATCGTCGTCAGAACTGCATTCGCAATCGCCGCCGTCATCATCAACATCGCCAACGGCATCGCCAGCATCATCCCCGTCCGCGCCCCCCGCCCCCCACCCAACTCGTCGCCCCCTCCACCTCCGCGGCCGTCTTGGCGCAAACCCGCGACGGCGGCGCTGTCGACGGCAGCGCCGTCGCCAGCGCCTACGCCGCCACTTTCGCCAACCGCACCGTCGCCAACGGCGCTTTCGACCGCGGCGCGTCGGCAGCCGCGCATTCGCCCGCGGCGTCGCCGCCCGAACTGCTGCCTCGCCGCAGGATCAGCCACGCCCCCGCGGAGCGGACTGCGGCGGGCGAGCAGATGGAGGCGAAGTTGCGGCTCGACGGCCCCAGCGCGACGATCCCGCCTAACGCGCGGGCGGGGAAGCGGGCGCGGCAGCGCCCGGGCGTGCCCGATGTCAGAGACGCCGTAAAAGAGAAGTCGCCCGAGAGGCCCGAGAGCGCCCCTCGCGGAGTGCACCCGCGCGTTCGAGGCGGACGCGCGGACCTAATTACCCGCCGACCAAGTGGGGCGACGAGCTCGATGGCCCGCGGGAGCTCAACGAAAGGGGCCGCGCGATGGCGATCGTGGATCGGCCGCCGGAGCTCCCGGCAGCGAGGTCGGCGAAGCTATGGGGGCAAGAGCGCGCGGGTGGACTGCCCGATGAGCCAGGGCCGCTACGAGAACGACGAGGACGAGATGCATTGCTGGCAGCAAGACGACTCCGCCATCCAGGACACACGGCAGCGCGGCTTCGCCCCTGGCTTCGACAAGAGATTCGACGAAGGGCACGATGAGGGCCACGAGTCGGGCCGCAAAGCTGTCACAGACCGCAGCTGCGACGCGGTCTTTACGGCCGGCCGCGACGGCGGCCGCCGCGCGAAGAGCGAGGCGAAACCGGCGGCTAGCATGCCGAGCTCTGGCTCGGTCAAGAGCTGGGGGGGGGCGCCCGAGGACACCGCCGAGGGCGCGGGCGTCACGGGCGCGAAGGGCTCGGGCGCGCGGGCGCGTTGAGTGCAGTGCGATAGTGCAGCGCGACGTCGACGTCGACTTCGGCGGCCGCGGAGGGCCGCCGCCGTCGCCCTCTCGGGCGCTCGGCCGCCGCGGGCCCCTCTGGCGACGTTGCCTGCAGAAAGTAGCCCTCCCCTCCCCCCTCAACCTCGGCGAGCGCGGGGCGTCCCCCTCCTCCTCCTCCTCCAACGTCTTTCCGCGCAACGCGTCGTCTCGTGGTCGTCGTCGTCGTCGCCGTCGTCCGTCGCCGTCGCCCGCGCCATTCGTCGTCGGTCGTCGCCGTCAGTCGTCCGTCGCCGTCCGTCCTCGTCCATCGTCGCCCGTCGTCGTCCGCCGTGGTCGTCCGCCGTCGTCGGTCGTCGCCCGTCGTCGCCCGTCGTCGTCCGTCGTCGTCCGTCGTCGTCGTCGTCGTCGTCGTTGTCGTCGTCGGCGTCGTCGTCGTCCGTCGTCGGCCGCCGTCGTCCGCCGTCATCGATCTCCGTCGTCGTCGCCGCGGTCGTTGTCGTCGTCGTCGTCGCCGCCGCCGCCGCCGTCGCCGCCCTCGCCCGTCGTCGTCGTCGACGCGGCCGTCGTCGTCGCCGCCGCCGCCGCCGTCGTCGTCGTCGTCGTCGCGACCGTCGCCGTCGTTGTCGACGGCGACAGAGCCCGCGTGAACCTTCATCATCTTGATCATACCTTGAATGAAGAATCGAGTAATGCGATACTGGATGGGCAGTTTACGCGCACTCTCAAGCAATGACGACCTCATCTCAATATCATTTCAATTCCATACAACTGGAAGCTGATATTATTATGATATGTAGATGAGCCCCGTCGCCCTCCACGCCGCCGACGACGATGACGACGGCGACGACGCAGCGAGCGACGACGATGAAGATGGTCGCGATCGCGCCGGCGACGACGATGCCCACTCCGAGCTCCCGGAAGTTTTTGCGTGCACTTTCAGATCGCGTCGGCGCGACCGCAGCCGCGCCCCGCGCGACGGCGCCCCCCCCCGCCCCCCTCAGCCGACAGATGAAGGGAAGGCGAACGGCCCTCGCGCTCCCCCCTCTCGTCGGCCCTCCGCGAAGCCCTCTCGCAGGGCTTCCAGCTCGCCTTCGGCGCCGCCTGCTTCTTGCGGCCCGCCTTGATCGTCTCGTCGATCTCCTTCGCTCCTTCCGGGCGATTCCCGCGCCGTTCGCGGGCGCGCGCATCCGCCCGAACGCGAGGGGCGCCTTGTCCTCCGCCCCGAGGGCGCTGGCCAGCGCCTCGAAGTCCGTCTCGATCTGGCACCCCTGCTGTCGTTCGCATTGCCGGTCTCGTCAGCGGCTGCGATCTCGCGAGCGAACGTGTCGATGCGATCGCGCGCCGCTCGCGCTGCACACGCGGCGACCGACGCGGCCCCAGGCATCTTCCCCTCGACCGATGGCTCCGTCTACGCGACTGCGGCTGTTGAGGCCGCTGCTGCCCGAGGCCCCCTTGCCGCCGCTGGTGGCCGCGGTTCTGCTTGACCTAGAAGCTCTCGTACTTGCCGTCGTCGAGCGTCGCAATGTCTGCGAGCTCCAGGCCCTGGTCGCGGCGTTCGACCTCGGTCTCCGCGGCCA